GCGGGCCTCTCACTGTTGTGGCCTCTCCCATTTGCGGAGCACAGGCTCCGGACGCGCAGGCTCAGCGGCCATGGCTCACGGGCCCAGCCGCTCCGCGGCATGTGGGATCTTCCCGAAACGGGGCACGAACCCGCGTCTCCTGCATCGGCAGGCGGACTCTCAAGCACTGCGCCACCAGGGAAGCCCCAGTATAATCTTTTAATGCTGTAAAGGTAGGGACTGTTAGACCTGTTATACTGAGGCTTAGAAAGGTTATGTGACTCCAAAATTACAATGCTCCCAAGTTTAGTGGTCTTGTCTCAAGGCATTTTGCTTCAAACTAATAATATTGGCAGAGAAATAGTCAAAAGCCATGTAATCAATACTTAACGGAGCTTTGGGAAAGGATGAATAATCTAAAATTAAACTTCACTCATCTTTCTTCACCATGGTTAATGTGGACTCAAAATATTAGCTGGAATTTAATTTTTCTTTCCTTGCCTTATTTACATGTAGTAGAATTAACAAAAATAGGAAGCCAAAAAAAAAAAAAAAAAAGACAAAACAGGCAATTCACAACCTATACTAACCCCTGTATCCTTGGAAGCTGGTTTCTGATATATGTGTTAAGTCTCCATTCCTGGCCCCATGTTCTAACCCTACTATCCCATATGTGTGTGTTCTGATGGATGCTAGGTCTGTGGATGCTCTTAGGTGAGACAGATTAGATATATTAGTGTTTCACCTGGTTCAATGCAACTTGACTCAACTACCTGCTGGAGGGAGGGAGTCACAGGTGGCCAGAGAGGAGCTTTTGACATGAATTGATCCTCTTATTCAAGTTCATGTCTGAGCTAATCAGAGCATGCTTCATAACTGTTTATCTTCACTGTGTCTTGTTTGGCATAAGGGACCCTGGGCATCTTACCCACATGTTGCCCAGTAGTAGAGTCACGTGTGAGGAGATCCTGGTAGCACAGCTGTAAAAATAGTTGTATAATGCTTTAGCAAATCTTTCTCTCTTTTTTCCTTTGCATTTCCAGTTGCCAGGATCTTCAAAAGGAGATTTCCCTCCTCCAGGAGCAGATCTCTCATCTGCAGTTTGTGATTCACTCCCAGCATCAGAACCTGCGCAGTGTCATCCAGGAGGTCAGATTAATCAAGTGTGTTTCTCTGGTAGCTAGTATGTTTACAGTGAGAAGACCAAATACGTGTGGCTTTGCCTGGACTCTACGAGCACTGAGATTCTAATCCCCATTGACATTTCCTTTTTATCCCCATGTGACAAGGCTCTGTTTTCAGTGTCCTCTTTTGTCTCTCTGCCGACACCTGGGATGTTCTCAGCGAAGATATTTGGGAAATTGTGTTTGCTCTTTAGATGTTTTGGTGTTCTTTTTTTAAGTGTTCTGAGCCAGATAATGCACACTGTTCTTTAGCAGATTTTGTAGATTAGGAGATTCAGCGCTTTCTTGAAGAAGAAATGATCTGTTTTCATAACCTCATAAGTGGTGAATTTACGTAGAGGGTGTGTTAGCACAGGGCTGTAACCTGACCCTTCTTCGCTGGGAACATCTTGGCAGGTGAAAGAGAAGAGGTCATCGTGATGGCAGCCAGATGGATGGTGAATTGCACACTCATACAGTTTACATCAAGATTTGTATTGATCTGGTTTGGGAATCTGCTTTAGACTTAAAACCATAACTTCATCCATTCGCTTTTTTAAAAACTACCTAATATTTGTTTCTAAAAGGAGTCCTTCCAAATAACTCAAATGCCTCCTTGACATAAATGTAACATTCATGCTTGCTGCGGTAGGACCTCACCAAACAGCCAGAGAATTGAGTCATAGCACTTGAGAGTCAGGGAGGACAGAGGGGGCATCCCATGTCCTCATTTTACAGATGAGAAAACTGAGGCCCACAGTAGTTAAATGATAGAGCTAGCCTTGGAATCCACGTGTTTCTTCTCTTCTGGCACCATCCTGGATATCACCCCACATCCCCCAGTTCCACGTTGCCTCTTAACAGATGCTTTTCTTCCAAAGCAAAGTGGGCTTACCTTAATATGCTGCTGGTTGACCAGATCTCTGCCGCAGGGAGCTTCCCCATGCCAGACCACGGCCTTGCATCATGTCCCCGGGCCTCTGCCTATGCAGGATGAAAATGTTAGGTGGCTGAGACACAGAACAAGGACCAGTGTTGCTTCCACAGGATGCACTCCTGCTGGGTTTGGTTTAAACAGGTTTTCTAAAGATTAAAGTGTTTAATTGCACTGTCTGTGTGCTCTTGTCCCCAGGTGCCAATTTGTCCTGTTATTTTCTGTAGCCTGCTGAGTCTACTAATGCTTGGGATTTAATTTTGTTGATTTGCTAAACATTACTTGACCACAGAAACCTGTACAGTTTCTGACTTAAGGAACTATTCTCTGTTGCCTGACAAGATTTTTGCATTTGTGTTTCTTAAATCTTAGATGGAAGGCTTAAAAAATAATTTAAAAGAACAAGATAAAAGAATTGAAGATCTGAAAGAAAAAGTTAACATACTTGAAGCCCAGGTAAGGAGGGAACCTGTTCTATATTTCAGTATGAATGTGAGTGTGTGTGTGTTCAGTATATCTGTGAGCCTGCGTACGAATGTGTCCTGTGTGTGTGTGAGTGCTTGTGTGCGATGGTGTGCCAGTGTGACACTGTGTCCAAGTATGTCTGTATGTGAATGTGTCTGTGTGATTGTGTGTGACTGTGTCTATGTGTATGTGTGAGGACAGCATGTGTCCTTATGTGGGTATGAATGTCTTTTTGTGAGTGTGTGTGTGCATCTTCTATGTATAAGAATTATAGCTTTGTGGGGGAGGTACTCTTAATTATTATTAAAATATTAAGTATTAAACATAATTTTATATTATTAAATTATTAATATTAAATATTATTAAAGAATTGTTGAAAGTTTATTCAAATGTTCCAGAATACTTTCTCTACTGGGGAGACCAGTGATACTATCTCTCGATGTGGACTTGAGTTAGAAGCTTGGTCAAGGCCTCTCTTGCGTGAACTCAGCTCTAGCCAGATAGCCGGGTCTGCTGTCTCCTGTCTTTGTTTCTTTCCCCCGTCCTGAGACGTACTCTTCCTCCTCTTTCTCCATCCGTATCCATCAGGGCATCCAAGCTTTGCCTCAGGGCTCACCTACTTCAAGAAGCCAATTGAAATTTTCTTATGTTTCAGTGTTTTAAAACTTATCATAAACCTTTAATTTTTTTTTTTTTTTTTCTTTCTTTCTGCGGTACGCGGGCCTCTCACTGTTGTGGCCTCTCCCGTTGCGGAGCACAGGCTCCGGACGCGCACGCTCGGCAGCCATGGCTCATGGGCCCAGCCGCTCCGCGGCATGTGGGATCTTCCCGAACCGGGGCACGAGCCCGCGTCCCCTGCATCGGCAGGCGGACTCTCAACCACTGCGCCACCAGGGAAGCCCATATCATAAACCTTTATAATACACTGTGATGTGCTTTACTTCTGCCCACTCATCCCCGCCTTGACTGGGGAAGCCCTTTTCAGGCGTTGAGCTGCAGTCCTAGGCTGGTGGTACCCCTACCTCACAGGAAGTACAGAGAAGCCCTGTGGTTATTGGAGCACCTGATGACCCCCAGGTGTCTCCAGCCCAGCTCTGCTTTGTGCTGAGTGTCACCCCTTCTGTCTCTGTTGAATAGCTCATCACGGACTGCCTAGACCTGGTCACCTTTTCTCCTTCATCCCTCAGCATTGTGACTTCTCTGTGTGTCACGTTGTCCTGTCCAGAGATGCTCTGTCTTCCATGGAAACCTGCTCATCTTTTGGAGCTGTTGTCTTCCCCAGGACAGATCAGAGAGGAGCTCCATAATCGGACTCCCAGCACACGCCTCACCATTCTTTCCACCACCACATTCTTTCTGCTTTCCTCAAACAGAAGAAAAAAATCATAATAATATAAAGAGGTTGTAAATATTTTGCAACTTAAGTTTTGTAACCATCCCCCTGTTTTGCCGTTTCTACCTTCCTGGGACCACTGTTCTCTTTATTTTAGAGGGTAAGCTCATCGCATCTTGGGTTTTCCTTAGATTCTCACCTAAGTAAGGTGTAAATTGGTTAGTTTACATCAGGTGATGTGATTTATGTCGCATTAGAGCCCCCTCCTCCTAAGAAATGTCTTTAAAGGCATTTCCTCCCAACTTTTCTTATGTAGTGGCCTTTTGACAAATGTTACTTGATAAAATATTTTTTCTTATAAATATTTTTCTTATACTATTTTAATAACTATTTTTTATTTTTTTACATAACTAACATATGGTCATTCATCCCATACAAATTAGGAAATATGGATGAGCAAATATAACAAGAAAACCACTCAAACATACCATCCAAGGGCAATTATTCAGCACAGTTGTGTATATCTCTATTTCTGTGGGAATTTTGTGCCTGTTACATACTTGTGTGTATATATTAGAGATACAGACTATATATGGCATCATTTTATTGTGTTTTTAACCTTTATTTCTTTCAACAATTTTTTCATATCACTAGTTACATAAGTCTATAAATACTTTTTTTTTTTTTTTTTTTTTTGCGGTACGCGGGCCTCTCACTGTTGTGGCCTCTCCCGTTGCGGAGCACAGGCTCCGGGCACGCAGGCTCAGCGGCCATGGCTCATGGGCCCAGCTGCTCCGCGGCATGTGGGATCTTCCCTGACCGGGGCACGAACCGTGTCCCCTGCATCAGCAGGCAGACTCTCAACCACTGCGCCACCAGGGAAGCCCCTATAAATGCTTATTGAGTGGCTACTACGGTGTAGGCACTAAATTGGATAAACAATGTTGAACAAAATAGACATGAGCCCTGCTCTCTGGAATTTACTAACTGGTGAGGGAGACAGATACAAATAAATTAATACGTAACTAATAATATCTTGGAAAGGTTCTGCAGGAAAAGGACAAAATACTCTGGGCAATAATACCTGGATGGAGGAATGTATATGGACCATTTAGATTGGTGGGTGGGAACAATCTCTCTAAGAAAATGAATTTCAATATGACCTTTGTGGAAAACTGGGTGGTAGGGCATGTCAGGTAGCCAGACAGGAGGCCATTGTGGGTGCTTCTAACCTAAAAGCTGTAAATAGCATAGGATGGCATTGGAAAGGTAGGAAGGTGCTAGATCATAAAAAGCCTTTAGGCCATGCTAAGGGCTCTTTTTCTCTATAGAACAGTATAACAAGAAAGTCTTTGCTTACCAGGCAAATTAAATTTACATTATCTTTTTAAAGAGCCACCAAGGTTTCCACTGTATTGCTCTGAAATAACTTAGCTAACTTAATCCCTGCTGTTGGATTGTTTTCCAGTACAGCTTTTGTAAACAGCAATGAATTCAACAGACTTTTACAAACATTACTGATTATTTGTATAATTACTTCCTCCCTTAAGATACATTTTTAGAAGTTGAACTGGTAACTCGAAGACTATCCATTTTTAAGACTGTTGATCTGTGTTCTCTGAATTTCCATGTCTGCTGGATCAGACATCTCCCTCAGCTGCCACAGCCTCACCTGCAGCTGCCTCTGCTCTTGCAGTTAACTCTTTACTCACTTTCAGTCTTTCAGTTCTGACATTTCTGATCTGCTAATAGCCCTCTTTTTTCCTCTTTATTACTAAGGGATTTCAATATTTAAAAATCCTTTGGTATCGTTCTAATGAAATCTAAGAAAGTAGAGATGAAAAACACATGTGCTTAGGGCTTCCCCGGTGGCGCAGTGGTTGAGAGTCCACCTGCCGATGCAGGGGACACGGGTTCGTGCCCCGGTCCGGGAAGATCCCACATGCCGCGGAGCGGCTGGGCCCGTGAGCCATGGCTGCTGAGCCAACGCGTCCGGAGCCTGTGCTTCGCAACGGCAGAGGCCACAACAGTGAGAGGCCCGCATAAAGCAAAAAAACAAAAACAAAAAAAACCCACATGTGCTCACGTTCCTATTTTGAGCCGGAATTCTCATTTAGATCCAAGTTTATCTGTAATTCAAGGCAGTCCAGTGTAAGGTAGGGATCTAATTTTTTAGTTGTCCTACTTTATTGAGCAGTCTGGCCTTCCTTCATGATTTTGAAATGCCGATATATCCTAGACTAAATTTTTATGCTGGAAATCTGTTCCAATGGTGTATCTGCCTATTTGGCTCCAATGCCCTACTGTTTTGATTATCATACATCTGTAATACATTTTTTGCTTCTCACTGGGAATGTTACAATGCCCTTTTCAGCTTTAAAAAGCCTGGTCAAGCCACATTAGTTTATTTATTCAGCAAATAGTTTTGTGTGTTTATGATGTACCAGGAAATGTTCTAAGTGGTAGGTACATGGTAGGAACAGGACACACTGTCCTGACTTCATCTAGCTTTATTTTAATTGAAGATACATACAGTAAATACATAAACAAGTAAGTACACAACTTAATTAGGGAGGGGTAACTGCTCCGAGAAGAGTAAAACAATGTGACAGTTATAAAGTGATGGGAGTCAAGAAGAGCATCTCTGAGCCTGTGATCTTGGACCAGGTACCTGAATTTAGTAAGTGCTTGAGCTGGAGTGAACCTGTTTCTAGTCTAGCCCTAGTCAATGCTTCGTTATGAAGATCTTAAACTGGGAGGACGTATGCAGGGGTGTACTATCTTGCACACAAACTTAGAACTATCCTATTTTGAAATATCAGTGTGAGCCGATTCAGTTTGTGAAAAATTGGTCACCAGAGCTGAACAACCCTTTTAAAGACGTCAACTTTCTAAACCATACAGACAGCATAGTTTTCTCATCCATAATAAACAACTCATCTCTTTTAAGGCATGCTACATACTTCATTTTGTTTAATCTTCAAAGCTACTCTGGGAGAAAGCTATTATTTATTCCCTCAGGGATTAAACTGAGATTCAGAGAAGTTAAGACACTTGTTCAAAATCACTCGGCTGCATTTGAGTCTTCCTGACTTTGAAGCACATGCTTTTCATCCCCCAATATCTACTTATCTGGGTGATCAAATAAGTGTGTGTATGTGCAGATATGCATGTGTGTCAATATACACACAGTTGTATTTAAAAATGATATATATTTCTACATATTTAGAAATGAACAGATATAATGTTAAATTTGCAGGATCATTTGTATGTATTTTAGCCATTGTCACAGTTACTACATTAAATGTTTTTCTTTTTTCCAGTTTTATGACTCATGGAAACTAATACTTTTTTCTATGTATTCTTTTCTATCCTACCAAGGACTTCCAACCCACCCCCCAACAAGGGGATAAAATTCACTCATCTAACTCTGTCCTTTTTTTTTTTTCTTTTCAGTCTTTCAGGATTTTAAACCTCTTTTAAGTATCACCAGAAAATTTCTGCTTAACTCTGCCAAAATTATTTACTTTTCTTTCTACTTTGGCATATCTTTCATCATCTTAATTTACAGCTCTGAAATTCATCTCACATTTCACACATTTCTAACCTCTTCACTAATGACATGCTCATATGAAAATGCATCTTCAGAAATTACTCCATTTTCTAGACTTTGAAGAGTATCCTACTTTATGTAATCACCATCATCCCTAAAATTTAAGTTACTTCCAAGAGCATGTTGCTAGAAGTTTAAGTATGCAAAAATTAGGTTCTTTTGGAAAACTGTGTCCGTGAACTATCCTTGGATAGGTCATAATAATGGTGGACTTACTCTGGTCATTGATTTGTAATTTTGTAAACTAATGATGAAAACTCATGCATTTGGTTGTTCTAGTTAAAGAAAAGCATATGAAAGCCCATGAATCAAAAATAAAGACCTACGGCTTCCCTGGTGGCACAGTGGTTGAGAGTCCACCTGCCGATGCAGGGGATGCGGTTCATGCCCCGGTCCAGGAAGATCCCACATGCCTCAGAGTGGCTGGGCCCATGAGCCATGGCCACTGAGCCTGCGCTCCGCAACGGGAGAGGCCACAACAGTGAGAGGCCTGCGTACCACCAAAAAAATAATAAAATAAAAATAATAAAGACCTAAATCCAGTAGATGAAATAAATCATCACAGAAGTTGAAATATATGAAAATAATGACAGTCTAAGCTGATAACTCTTATGCTTCTGCATTGTTTGGAAGGGCAACAACTTGAGAAAGTAGGAGTTTATTTTGGAAAAACTCCAAATAGCTTCTACATACTTGTCCAGCCACAAAAATATTTTTATTCCAATGCTTGTTGTCATCATGATATTGTGTTTCAAGTTGTGCTTCATAACTTGTAAAGTACTATACAGAGAGGAGTTTTTCTTAGCCACGTACTTGGCCCTGATATATGCCTGCACTTGTTTGGAGTGTATATTCGATATATCTCCATTATACAAGGAACATCTATATCATCAATTTGTCAAATCTGAAGTACATTTCCTGAGTGAGACTTAAGTGCTTAACTCTTGAAATATCACAGTGAAATGATTCATGTGTGAAGATTTTTGCTCCATCTTTTAGTTATTATTCCATGTAGATGCCGAGGGATAAGAAGGTACAAAATTCACATCTTGTCTCTGCTTTCCTTAGTTCAGTAGTTCTTCATCTTAACTGTACATTAGTATCACCTGCAGAGTTTTGAAAACTCCTGAACCTAGATTACAACCAAATTAAATGGAAACTTTGGGGGTAGGACCGAGGCATCACTAGATTGTAAATCTCCCAGGTAATTCCAATATACAACCAACATTTAAAACTACTCTGGTCCAGTGGCTCTCCGATGTGAGCAGACATCAGAATCATCTGATGAACATCTTAAAACACATCACCCGGCCACCCCGGGTTTCTGGTCCAATGGCTTGGTTGGGAATTGAGGATTTGTAGTTCTAATAAGTTCCCAGGGGATGTTCCGATTGTTGATTCCAGGGCTACACTTTAAGAACTGTGTCTTCATCTTTTTTCCTCTCCCTTTTTTCCACCTAACCCATTTCACCTTGTTTTCAAGGTCCAGGTTCAACGTCCTTGTGTAGGAAAATTATTCTAGTCACACTGATTTCTGTTTATACCTTTGAATTACTGGCTGCCTTATGGCATCTCTTGAATCGCATTTAATTTATTTATTTTTAATTTTTGAATGGTCACATGTTTATCACCTCCACCATACGGTGCATCCTGTGTTCTAAAAGGGAAGATACTATCCTTTCTTGTGCTGTGTCACATTCCCTCTGCTACTGGTATGTTGCTGCAGACATGGCAGGGACCGAGTACCTGGGTGTATTGTGGGGGGCTGGATGTTTGGGGTAGATTCATTGTTGATTAATTCCCTGACAGTTTGCTGTCTTCTCTTGCCTATATATCATACCTGGAATCCTTTCAGAAATCACTGAATCTCTTTATCTCCTGGGGTCCACCAATTGCTTATTTGTAATATAAGGAGGCTGGGCGAATTCCTCTGGTCACAGAAAAATAACATCTTGCAGGGCATAAAGCCTGCACATTTGCAGACCCATGCCGCATATACTACCTGTGGGTCATTGGAAGCAAGGTTCCTCGTCAATTTGAGTTTTGCCAGCTTTATTTCTTTCACATACATAACAATGAAAGTTACTCCTCAAAGATGAGTTTATATCGAAGAAAAGAATGTCTGGAAAACACCAGGCAAAAGTCTTGACATTTGCTAGGTACTCAGAATTATTAACTCTTTTTCTTCCATCAAAATTCTGGTGTCTATTTCCCAAAACCATGCATTCTGGTGCTGGCTTACTCCAAACCAGCAGATGGAGTCTTACAAAACAACTTACTTTTTCAGTCCTTTGTTTCCTACAAGGGAAGGGAGCTGGTGTGTTGCTGTTCTTTGAAAGCCGTGGCGCCTCTTCTGCCTTCCTCCCACGGTTACCTTTCAGACCCAGAACTTTCTGTACAGTTGTATCCTTGAAAGACTTCTGGCCTGCCCATGCAGCCAACTGGCAAGTCAACCTTGGGCATGAGTCTTCGCTGGAAAGTCTCACTTTCCAGATCTATAAAAGGAAACTGTTTGGCTTGGCTCCATTGTAGAGAAAGTATTGTCTCTGGACTGGGAGGCCCTGACTTTGTGGGGTTTTTTCTTTCACTTTTTCTTTTTATTAATTTTTATTGGAGTAGAGTTGCTTTACAACGTTGTGTTAGTTTCTACTGTACAGCAAAGTGAATCAGCTATACTTACACATATATCCCCTCTTTTCTGGATTTCCTTCCCATTTATCGGAGGACCTGACTTTGAATCTTCAGTTCTGCCCTGAACAAGATGTTGGGCACTTAAACTCTTTGGACCTCAGTTTTTATATATAATATATAATAATGGTCCTTGGACTAGAAAGTCATAACCAACTGCCTTTCAGTCTTAAAACCTGTGCCAGACACCGAGCTGAGTAGTTTACGTACTTTTATTTCATTTCAGAACCTGTGAAGAAGGGACTATGATATCTGTTAATACAGATGAGGAAATTAGGCACAGAGAGGATAAGTAAACTAAATGAGGTCACACAGCTAGCAAGTGGTTGTGCTAGGATTTGTACCTGAAAACTTAAACGCTTTCCCTTCCTGTTATTAGCCATTGCATTATCTCCCAGAATTCCAAGGTGCTTCCAGATTTAAAATATTATGGTCGTATGATATCTGTTTCTTCCACCTTATATATGGTAGTCAGGACCACTGCTACTAGAGATGAAGAAACTGAGGCTTCGATGAGAAAATTGAGGCTAAGGATGCCGTGAACCAAAAGAACAGATGGTGCCTATTTTCATGGAGTTTCTAATCAAGAGATTGCACAAGAAAGACAAATGTGTAATAAATATTGTGTGTGTCTTTCAAAAGGTTCTTTAATAGAGTTTAATAGAATTCTTTCATGAAGTTCTTCACATCTGTCCATATAAAAGAAACTGTAAATTGAAACAGAGAGTTCAGCTGTTGAATTTCAGAGGCTAAGTCAGAATACTGAATTTGAATGCCTTGGTAAATTATGCATTTTTCAAGGAGTGTTTGTATTTTCAAAAGTAATATTTGGGGACTCGCAACTAGCTACGTTCTGTGTTCTAATACAGTGACTGGAACAACAGACTTACTGCTAAAGAGGGATGTAGATGGTGGGGTCGTCCAGAAACACTAAGCACATGGCTAGTAAATGTGCTAACACACATGTGATCTCTGCACAATTTTTGTTTTCTATTTCAGAACAAAGAACTAAAAACCAAGGTGGCACTTTGGTCTGAAATTCCTAGGCCGAAGGTATCCAAGGCCGTCTCTACAAGGTAAGGCCTCGCTTCCGCCCCCACCATCTGTCTTCACGACTCCTGTTGAACACGGTTGACATTTATACCACTTGAGAAATTATCCATTCAGTTAATACTTACGTAATCACGTGTTTACGGTCTGTCTCCCAGTTCTTTGAGAGTGGAAGCTCTATTAATCTTGTTAACCACTGAATCCTTGAAGCCTGATATACGAATACTTACTTTATGAGTAAATGAATGACCACATTTAGATATCGTCTTTCCTCTTCTTTGGCATAAAACAAGCCCAGTCTTGGCTTCAACACTTAATCCAAAGAGTACAGATTATCTCCTCCACTGTCCTTGTTCCTCCATTGCTCGTATTTTCTGTGTCACCGATGGGCATTTTAATCATAAATCATGTGTATTTATTTAAGTTTCCATGTCTGTCTCTCAAGTTGATTGTAAGTGTCGAGAGGGTAGGAATAGTTCCTTGTTTTTCACTTTATTTCCTGCATTGTTAAAGTGTCTTCAACAACTAATAAAGAATGAATGAAGCAATGATAATGACCCCTAAAGCAATGGAAATAATAGTTGAAACCATCAAATCACTTTCTAATGTTGACAGAATCAGAAGTGACAGGTTTGTAAAAAAAAAAAAAAAGAATTCTGGGCTCAAGTCTCATTTCCATAAAATTCCATGAAATTATCACTTAAAAGAAAATATAGTCTGTAATTACATGAATCATTTAGAAAGTGACTAAAAACTTCCTGTTCTAGCAACTTTTGAATTTCCAGCCTAGTCTCTCTAGGGCCGAAACCCATTTTCTGAAACTCTCTTCTGCACAGTGCCTGACGTGGAGAATCAGGTCCCCTATGATTAGCCCCAGTCTAGGGATTCAAGTAGATCTTTCTCCCTCTTCAAGACACCTTGCAACCATGCTTCACTTTGCTAATGATGTATGTAATTAGAAACTAGAGATGAAGCATTATGCATCAAGTTTCCTAAAATCTTTGAGCCCCCAGAGGCTAAGTCATTAACTTTTTGGCCAATAGCCCTGCAACATCTAATAAAGAAAAATTAAGCCCAAGAAGTATTGAAAGAGGAAGTGAAATGCCCACATTTCAGAAGCAGTAAGAGAAGCAGACATTTCAGAGCAGGAAGAGATGAAGAGTTTAGAATAGAAAGGGAAGCATGACTTTCCAAGGAAAGGGAGGATGGTCGATTTTAGCTCCTTTACCAGATACGTCCTCTTGGGGTAGTGAGGTATCATGGCCAACCTCAGCTGTTTTGACCCTGGAGGGAATGGAGCCAGAGTGGAGCAGAGGAAGGAGCAACACGTGGTCTCCATATTATACTGACTCCAGTATTGCGTGATGAGACTCAGGCTGGTACAGAGGGGATGAGTTTGAGAGAATGACTTCTATGGCCAGTTCTTTAGCTACAGTTCATTAATAAAGGTAGTTTTAAAGACTTTTTCTTCCTATGACTGAGGAAAGGTCAAATGGGAAATTTTCCTAATTGAAATAGGGAAACTGGAATGAATATGCCCTTTGTTTTATGATTTTGGTAGAAATTCCAATAGTAATGATATATCTATAATGGTAGGTCTCATGTTTGCAAAATGAAATCTGACCAATTGGCCGTTTGAGAATGTAAGTGGTAGTATGGTTTGGTAAGTCTAGATTCACCAACGTAGAATGGAATTATAACTCTCGCGAGGACTTAGAATGTAAAAGTAGCCGTTAATGCAAAGAAAAACAAGCATCACATATATTTAAAAATTAATCTTGGCAAATCTCTTAAATCACTCATAAAATAGAATTCTCTCAGTCAGTGCAAAAAAAAAAAAAAAAGTTTTTTTTTTTCCCCAAGCATTAGAACGTATAGATGTTTCTTAAGTTGAACACCAAAGAAATGGATATTAAGGATCAGGTTGTTAGAAAACAGCAAAACAGCAACAATAAAACACACATATATACATATATGTGTGCACACACATATTGATGTGTGCGTATGTATATTTGTGTGTGTGTGTGTGTATACATATTTTTTAAACTAGACTCACACAGTGAGGAGAGAAGTTTAGGCTATGAGAAACCCACAGAACTAAAACGTCCTGACGGAACAGTCGATTTGTGTGTCCCATCTCCAAGTCACTCTGGTGCATGTCTTCACTGAGTAGAAGGGCAGACACACCCTCACTCTTCCTCACTCCTGTCCTCTTACAACCAGATGCATTTACCTAAGGTTAATGCATCCATAACGTGCTTCTACTGTGCCTCATGGGGAATTAGAGTCAATTAACCATCATCAATTCGGTTAAAGCAATTCGTTCAGACTTGGTAGTACAGCAGTAGTGGAGATGGTAATGAAGGTGGTACAGCAGTTATGTCAGTAAAGCTTTATGTGCTCGATTTTGATAATTGTGTGGTCTTTTCTACAGTGAATTGAAGACTGAAAGCATGACCCCATATTTGATGTTGGTTAGGCTACGGAAGTGAGCCGCCTGGCTGAAGAGCTGAATGAGAAAGACCACTGCCTGCGTCTTATTTACTCCTTGAAACACAGTCTAAATTTACATATTAAAATTGCTCAATGCCAGTATTTAATGGAATGTATTGTATTATATTTAATGTATACATCAATAACTTTGCAGGAAGATGACATTTCAGAAAATCAAACCAATATATATTCAAAGAAAGGACCTCTTTCTTCAAAACTTACTAATGGATGAAGAAACCAGATGCTTTCCCACGATGGAAGATGAATTTTGCTTTAAACTTAAAAAAAAAAAACAACACTGAATTTTTTTTTTTTTTTTGCAGATTTTTGCTGAAGGGACTGGTTAAGGTTGTCAACTTTGACCTTTTGATAGTGGTTTTTATTTACAGTCATCCCTAGGTATCCACAGGAGATTGATTCCAAGAGCCCCCTCGGGTACCAAAACCCATTCGGATGCTCAGTCCCATATATAGAATGGCACAGTGCAGTTGGCCCTCTGTATCCATGGTTTCCACATCCATGGATTCAATCGATCGTCAGTGTGGAACCTGCAGGTACAGAGGGCTGACTGTACATGAATATAAGGAAGAATATACAGGCATGCTTCCTTTTACTGTGCTTCACTGACTTTGTGTTTTTGTTTTTTTTTAAATTGAAGGTTTGTGGCAACCTTGCATTGTCAGATGATGGTTAGCATTTTTCTGGCAATGAAGTGTTTCTACAATATAGTGTAAACCTGACTTTTAGATTCACTGGGAAACCAGAAATTTCATGTGACTCGCTTTATTGTGATAGTCTCTTTAGATTGGTGCTCTGGTACTGAACCTGTGATATCTGTGTGTGTGTGTGTGTGTATGTGTGTGAATAAATGATATATTTTAAAGTTGACTTTTGGATAATAAGAAATATCTTACCATGATAAATATTCATCTCTTAACCCATGGTTAGTGGGAGAGTTATTCTCTACTGAATTAAGGGCAGAAAAAGGAGTAGATTCTTTTTAGCTAATTCCCCAAACCAAACAACCCTCCGAAGTCAAGAATTCTGGCTGCTTCACAACACCTTAGGAGGCTGCTCTTCTTCAGCTGGGATTGAACTTTGGTTGCTAGAGGCAACCCGCACATCAGCACAAAGAAATACACCTTGTGATTCTGCCTTTGTGACTGATTTTCTTTTCGATCTTTGTTAATATTATCTAAGTAAAATGTTTAGGGGAAAGAATAGAACACAGTGCTGTTAGCTCATACCTCCATAAAAAGGTATTCATTATGGGTTCAAAGGAGGAGTGGCTGCTGTCTGCAGCCAGGAGGAATCTGAATTCATGAACTTGGAATTATATGTCTAGTGATTTTATGAAAGTGACTTAAATTTTGATACATGCATTCGTTACCGGTGGAATTTGAGATTGCTATAAGTAAAAGAAAACTCTTACTTGTAGAAATACAAACATACTGACACTCAGGAAAGCAGAACACACTTCAGCTAAAGGCATAATGGGAGACCTTTGTCATCCTAAAAGGTGAATTACCTGGAGGCTTTTTGATCATTCTCTTTGGTGTATAACTCTAAACATTTTCTCAGGAAAGATGCTTCATGCCTTTCAAGGTAGAATGTGAAACATCTGTATGATCTATGAAATATTTAAAGGTATTTACAAATGAGATGAAGTAATATCTTTCTAAATTCAGCAAAGTACTGTAATCCTTGCAATGTTGCGTAACTATGTATGTGAGTTTCATACTTCTTGTTTTTATTGCTTTGTAGTTTTTAAGGTGTAGTTATCTAATAGCACTTAGGACACAGTCACCCTATGCCAGGAACATTTCTAAGTACTTCACCTGTATTAATTTCTTTAATCCTCCCAACAACCCTCAGAAACAGGTCATATTATTATCCCTGTTCTTCAGAGGAGGATACTGTCATTGATTAAGTAATTTTTCTAACTGCTAACTATGGAGCGAACATTTGAACCTTTGACTTGGCTATTGATACGCCTACCTGGTGGTCTGAGATACCTCCCAGCTATAGAAATGTCTCTATTTTTGCTACTTTAACAAACACAGCTTTTTTGTTGGCTTTCTGCACCACACTGTGGATGACAGTCAGAAACAACACTTACTAATCAGGTAAATATTTTGCTGAGATGAATTGGCCTTTCGCTGTTGGTCTACCCTCGTGAGTACTAATACAGAAAAGCTTCCTGCTAAAAATCTGCTAATTTTATCTTTATTATTCATGCCTTTATGCCACATTGAAGATTTTTGGTAATGCATTTTCTGGCACATGTGTAGGGGTGTTGGGATCATGAATTCTGCTTTAAGCATCTGCAGTGTGGTAGGAGATTTCACCTTTCACTTAGAGATCACTTAGGTTCCTCTTATACCCCAACCATCATGCTGGGTTGTAATAAATGTGAGCTTTTGGAATGGACCCATCTAACTGACCTAACAACCTGGATGATTTCCATTAGAATAATGTATTTTCAAATCAAAAATGGAAGGACACTGTTGAATTTTATTTGGATTTCACTATATTCATTTTTGAACACAGAAGTACACTTCAATGTAATACAGGTAGGACCTGCTCATGTGGTCTCCAGCTTCACTTTGGGATGGTGTTTGGATCTTTTGAGAATAAGAATGAGCATCTTCAGAAGCCTAAAAAGATCTGAACTCTTCAAATACAAAAGTATTGTTTTACTGACATCAGTAGATCATTTATATGTCACGTATGGGTTATTTCCTATCTCCTCATCGTTTCAGCATCATCATTTGAATTCTTTCTCTAAATAAACATTTCTGAGTGATAAAAAAATCATTACAATGGAGAATGAAATTTATTAGTCTAAAAGTAGTACCACACAGAAAATACGAAAACAAAAACCTCAATTGTAGTCAAAGTATTTGTACTTATAATTACACTAATCAAAATATTGGATAAGAAGGTCTGAGGTGGGCTATAAAGTAACTACATGGAGGTAGGAAATGAAAAGAAACTGAGTTTCACTTTCATTACATATATTGTTACAAATTATCATTAAGAAACGTTTAAGCAATTGGTATAATATATACCATTTTAATAATTGCTTATGATATGCCTTAAAAATAAAGAAAATTGATGCCATATTTTGTGGGCTTTGCTTCTGTTTATTTTTACATTAAAATTATTATGCATAAATGAATTAAGTAGTTGTTATTTGACTGTTAATGACAATATAACCCATAATAAATAGATTGTTTTTGTCAGTGAGCAGATGTTTAGATAGCTCCTTGAACTTTTCTCCGAATTTTCTGTGAATCCAAATTAACAGCAAAAGTAATCTATTATGTTTTTATTCTAAATTTGAAAAAAAATGGTAACATTATAAAATTAAGAACACACAAACACTTTATCGAATTCTTTCACGCCGCTTCACTTTGAAAATTCTTACCTGGCCTGAAATCTTCCGA